GGAACAGGAGGGGTGGTCCTAAGCTACCATAGATATGACAAAACTCAGCAAAATTATTTTTTACACCAAATATTAACAACAAAACAACAATATTTTTGGCCAAAATTGCATTATCAGTGTTGTAATTCAGAGGTAAAAAAAAAAAATCTTGAAAATACTATTGTCTTATCTATACAGTGGAACCTCTATTTACGAGTTTAATCTCTTCCATGACCTTGCTCGCATCCGGATTTGCTCGTTTGCAGAGTTAATTTTCCTCATTTAAATTAAGTGAAATGGAATTAATTTGTTCCAATGGAATTCCAGGCACGAGAAAATACTTCAATAATTTCCCTAATATCAACTCCACGGCTTATTTATCCACCACAATTCATGTGATATGACATAATAAACAATATTAATAACATAGAAACATGATACAGTGGACCCCCGGTTCGCGAAGTCATCGGTATCCGATAAATCCGGTATCCGCAGCATTATATCGCAAGAAATTTGCCTCGGTTCCCGTTACGAAACCCGGTATGCGATACGATTTGTACGAGACGTGTCCACGTGTGGCCTGAAATGCCCCGTGTGTGCCAGTGTTTACAAGCCAGCCAGTGTGCGTGCATCTAAGGATACATTTGGTACATTCCATATTATCCATATTATCACTGTTTTTGGTGCTTGTTTCTGCAAAATAAGTCACCATGGGCACCAAGAAAGCTTCTAGTGCCAATCCTGTGGTAAAAAGGGTGAGAATTAGTATGGAAATTAAGAAAGATTTTGAAGGGTTTGGGGCTAACTCTGAGAAGCCTATGCCAGTTGTGGAATCCATTGTGCCTATTTCAAAAATTAAGTTAATGTGTGCACAGTGGGTTGAACTGCAAACCTTTATGGATGAAAATTACCCTAACACAGCTATTGCAAGCCGTGCTGGTGACTATTACACTGACAATGTTGTGAACCACTTTAGGAAAGTCATAAAGGAACGAGAGGTACAGGCCTCTATGGACAGATATGTTGTGCGACAGAAGTCCAGTGACTCTCAAGCTGGTCCTAGTGGCATTAAAAGAAGGGAAGTAACCCCAGAAAAGGACTTGCTACCTCAAATCCTAATGGAGGGGGATTCCCCTTCTAAACATTAAAAGCTTCGACACTCTCCCCTCCTCCCATCCCATCAATCATCACCAGATCTTCATTAAAGGTAAGTGTCAATTATTCTATTGTGATTATTCTATTGTTATTATTGTTAGTGTAATTATTCTATTGCATTAAACTTAATATTTCATGTGGTAAAAGTTTTTTTTTTCATACTTTTGGGTGTCTTGCACGGATTAATTTGATTTCCATTATTTATTATGGGGAAAATTGATTCGCTTTCTGATAATTTTGCTTTACGATGAGCTCTCAGGAACGGATTAATAATGTGAACCAGGGGTCCACTGTATATACACTAGAATGAGTAAAATACACGTCATTACGCATGTGGCTAGTGGTGGTGACAGCAGCCATTGTTGTTCTTGGGGTTTATAGGGCCACCACAGTAGCCATTCCTGCTCCTGACTACATGTATAGACAGAGTGACTTATAAGTGCTTCACTCTTAATGCTACACTTAATTGGTACACTCTTAATGCTACACTTAATTGCTACACTCTTAATGCTTCACTTTACTACTGCTGCTGCATGCTGTCTGCCATTGCCTCTTCATGATGTCTGCCACTGCTGCTTCATGTCTGCCACTGCTGCTTCATGTTGTCTGCCACTGCTACCTCATGATGTCTGCCACTGCTGCTTCATGCTGTCTGCCATTGCTGCTTCATGATGTCTGCCACTGCTGCTTCATGTCTGCCACTGCTGCTTCATGTTGTCTGCCACTGCTACCTCATGATGTCTGCTCCCACTTTTGCTAGCGTGTTGAAGAGCTTTCCAGTATGTGAAGGTTGAGGGGCAGTGCCAATCAGACAGGTATTGCACAGTGACATCATTTGTTTACTCTTGAACATCGCCAAAGAATCGAACATTTCTGCTACTTTGAGCTCAATTTCAAGGTACTTTTCATTGTGAAACCAATCGCAATCATATTTATTTCTGTAGTATATCTTCCATTCTATCAAATGAGACCAAAAAAATGAGAATACAATCTTAAAAACCATACAAAAATATGCTGCTAAGGGGAGGCTAATGGCTGAGAAGTAAATTCCGTTATTTATGGTCCGATTTGTTTCATTTTTGGTGTATGCTAAGAACATAAGAAAGAAGGAACACTGCAACAGGCTTCTGGCCTATTTGAGGCAGGTCTAATTCTCCCACAGTCAGGTCAGTCACGTCACTTAAGGGAGGAGCACGGCATCCGACCTAGTAGCACAAGCTAGTCAGGTCCAACTCACACCCACCCGTACCCACTCACGTATTTATCCAACCTATTTTTAAAACTACACAACGTCTTAGCTTCTATGACGGTACTCGGGAGTTTGTTCCACTCATCCACAACTCTGTTACCAAACCAGTGCTTTCCTATATCCTTCCTGAATCTGAATTTTTCAAATTTAAAACCAGTGCTGCAAGTCCTGTTTATGTTAGATATTTTTAGCACGCTATTTACATCCCCATTATTAATTCCTGTTTTCCATTTATACACCTCAATCATATCCCCTCTAATTCTACGCCTTTCTAGAGTGTGTAGATTCAGGGCCCTCAGTCTATCCTCATAGGGAAGATTTCTGATACATGGGATCAATTTTGTAATCCTCCTTTGTATGTTTTCCAGTGCATTTACATATATCCATTCTGTATTACGGTGACCGAAACTGCACAGCATAATCTAAATGAGGCCTAACCAAAGATATATAGAGTTGAAGAACAACCTGAGCATCTTTCTATCATACATTGCCCAAGTTTCAATAAGATAGTCCAACAAACAACTGAGATCCAAAAGGAACCTCCCTTGAGGCCCGCTCGCATCTGGAAATTTCGCTCACGTCTGGAAGCAAAAAATCGACAGAGCGACTGCTCGTATTTGGAAAAACTCGCATGTGGATGCACTTGTAAGTAGAGGTTCCACTGTATACACCTACCATCCGACTTACGACCTGCTCGACTTACGACCACTCGACTTACGACAGTGTTTTTTATGCCAAATTTCTGGGAAATAAACAACTATTTGTGTTGTACACAGTGTTTATCCTAAACCTTACAGTATAAAATACAGTACTAACAATATAAAAAGTAAAGTAAAACATGAAATACCAAAATAAAACAATAAAATAGTCATTACAAAAATGTTTTGTTGATACTCAGTAGTAAAGTTCGACTACGACCATTTCGACTTACGACCGGTTTCTTGGAACCGAACTCGATCGTAAGTTGGATGGTAGGTGTATATATTTTTTCAACACACCGGCCAATCCTACCGAGGCAGGGGGACCTAAAATTAAAAATGGACATTTTTTCTTTTTAAATTTAGTAATTTATACAGAAGGGGTTACCAGTTCCTTGCTCCTGACATTTTAGTCACCTCTTATGATGAGCACTTTTTTTTTTTTTAACACGTCGGCCGTTTCCCATTGAGGTTAATAATTCTTATTAGTTTGCATAAGCACTGTACAAGAACAAAAAAATTGCATGCCACTAAGATTCTTATTTAAATAAATTACAATCACTATACTTCTGGAGAAAGGCAATACAGTAAGAAAATGCAAAGCAAGAAACTGACTTAATAAAAAAATTATCAATTACAATATCTTTTGTATAATGTGGCCCTAATCTCTAGACCCATTGTTTTCCTCTGTTATCTCTGATTTCTCCCCACAGTATAGGGTACATAATAAACATATCAAATTAAGCTTTCAAAAATACTGTACAAGACAAGGCAATGCCAGGGCACACATTTTGTTCTTTTCCTCAGAGACGATTAAGACATCTATTGTCACTGAAAAAGAGCCTTCTTTAATACAGGAGAACCTGCTTATACGGCAGGTTAGGTTCCAGGCTACTGCTGCACAGCAAAAATCATTGTTAAGTGAATCATAGCCTTTTTGTTTGCTTTCAAATGCATATAAAAGCCTGATAAAATATTTACACTATTATATAGTAAGTGAGCAATAGAGCTAGGCCTAAAACTGCATATACAGTACATATATTACTGTAAAATATATTCGTCTTTGGCTTTGAACAAGCGGTTGGTTTGGTTTGGTAAGGTTTGTCAGGACACAGGACAAGTATAGCGAGTGGTGAACATATTTATTGTAGGAAGTCTGAATAAATGAAGAATGGGTATAATTGAAACCCTCTGCATTAGTGAAATGACATAAAGCACAGTGCTATAAAACAGTATCCTCCTATATGTGGCTTTAGTAAACTTCTGAAAAGTTCATTAAATCCCAGTAATGGCTATTATACCAGGGATGAATCCCAGTTTTACCCTCCCGAAAAAAGAGTAATCCCTAGACGGGAACACAGTTTCAGAGGATACAGATAAGTACTTTTTTTGCAATTTAATTATAAATAATTAATTTAAGTATAGTAAATCCTCTAAGCATTGTCTATAAGTCCATTTCTGGCTCACTCTCCTTTTTCACAGTCATGTATTTTGAAAAGCCCCATGCAAGCCCTCCAATTACCAGTCAAAAAATGTTCCCACACAGCCTTTCAAACTCCAGCCTCAATCATATCAATTATACTTTCGGTTATACCTGACAGGATACAAAGGCAAAAACGACACAGGTGTAGAGCAAGCGTTCACTGTGATGTTTTGCTACAGTGCTTTATGAAGTTTGATCTGATAAAGCTCTACACAAAGCAAAATACTTTTGCAATAAATGCTGGCTCTGTGTGTCTTTTCTTCTATACATGACAGTTTATTTAATTAAATATACACAGTTTTTTCAAATGTCCTTAAAAAAATTCCTGCAGGTTCTCTATATAATCATTTTATTTTTCTATTTCTTGTTCAGTGAATGATTTCCCATTTGGTTCCACAAATTTACCTAAAACCAATAATAATGCACCAATAATTACCCAAGGTAAGCATTCATGCTATGGACAGTTTGTGGCAGTGGAAGGCCACTCTTCATATCTGGCACTCCAGACGATACCAACTCCTCCTTCCTGGGCATTAAGTTATCTCCTGTGACAACTGCCACCTGTTGGGTTTATGTAAGGTTAATGAACTATAATATGTGTAATTAGAAGAGATAATTACAGGAGGCTAAAGGCATTGGAGACATCATGTTTGAGAGAAATGTGTGGTGTGAATATTATGCAGATAATTCAGAGCACAGAAATTGCAAGGCAATATGGGATCACCAAGGACATAGTTCAATGGGCTGAGGAGGGGTTGTTGAAATGGTTTTGGCATGTAGAGAGGATGGAAAGAGGTTGATAAAGAGATGTACAAATCTGGGGTTTAAGGTAGAAGAGGTTGGGGTTGTCTCAGGAATGGTTGGAGGGAGGTGGTAAAAGTTGCAGGTGCTTGAACATTCACTAGGCATGTGTGAGTGCCTAGGCATGCTAGAAACCTTCCATGTAATTAGGGATTGGCAGAGAGCATGCATAGTTCCTTTGTATAAAGGCAAAGGGGACAAAAGAGAGTGCAAAAATTATAGGGGGATAAGTCTGTTGAGTTATAGGTAGTAGGTTGGTAGACAGCAACCGCCCAGGGAGGTACTACCGTCCTGCCAAGTGAGTGTAAAACGAAAGCCTGTAATTGTTTTACATGATGGTAGGATTGCTGGTGTCCTTTTTTCTGTCTCATGAACATGCAAGATTTCAGGTACGTCTTACTACTTCTACTTACACTTAGGTCACACTACACATACATGTACAAGCACATATATACACACCCCTCTGGGTTTTCTTCTATTTTCTTTCTAGTTCTTATTCTTGTTTATTTCCTCTTATCTCCATGGGGAAGTGGAACAGAATTCTTCCTCCGTAAGCCATGCGTGTTGTAAGAGGCGACAAATGCCGGGAGCAAGGGGCTAGTAACCTCTTCTCCTGTATATATTACTAAATGTAAAAGGAGAAACTTTCGTTTTTCCTTTTGGGCCACCCCGCCTCGGTGGGATACGGCCGGTGTGTTGAAAGAAAGAAGAAGTCTGTTGAGTGTACCTGGTTAAGTGTATGGTAGAGTTATTATTGAAAGAATTAACAGTAAGACGGAGAATAGGATAGCAGATGAACAAGGAGACTTTAGGAAAGGTAGGGGGTGTGTGGACCAGGTGTTTACAGTGAAACATATAAGTGAACAGTATTTAGATAAGGCTAAAGAGGTCTTTGTGGCATTTATGGATTTGGAAAAGGGGTATGACAGGGTGGATAGGGGGGCAATGTGGCAGATGTTGCAGGTGTATGGTGTAGGAGGTAGGTTACTGAAAGCAGTGAAGAGTTTTTACGAGGATAGTGAGGCTCAAGTTAGAGTATGTAGGAAAGAGGGAAATTATTTCCCAGTAAAAGTAGGCCTTAGACAAGGATGTGTGATGTCACCATGGTTGTTTAATATATTTATAGATGGGGTTGTAAGAGAAGTAAATGCGAGGGTCTTGGCAAAAGGTGTGGAGTTAAAAGATAAACAATCACACATAAAGTGGGAGTTATCACAGTTGCTCTTTGCTGATGACACTGTGCTCTTGGGAGATTCTGAAGAGAAGTTGCAGAGATTGGTGGATGAATTTGGTAGGGTGTGCAAAAGAAGAAAATTAAAAGTGAATACAGGAAAGAGTAAGGTTATGAGGATAACAAAAATATTAGGTGTTGAAAGATTGGATATCAGATTGGAGGGAGAAAGTATGGAGGAGGTGAATGTATTCAGATATTTGGGAGTGGACGTGTCAGCGGATGGGTCTATGAAAGATGAGGTGAATCATAGAATTGATGAGGGGAAAAGGGTGAGTGGTGCACTTAGGAGTCTTTGGAGACAAAGAACTTTGTCCTTGGAGGCAAAGAGGGGAATGTATGAGAGTATAGTTTTACCAACGCTCTTATATGGGTGTGAAGCATGGGTGATGAATGTTGCAGCGAGGAGAAGGCTGGAGGCAGTGGAGATGTCATGTCTGAGGGCAATGTGTGGTGTGAATATAATGCAGAGAATTCGTAGTTTGGAAGTTAGGAGGAGGTGCGGGATTACCAAAACTGTTGTCCAGAGGGCTGAGGAAGGGTTGTTGAGGTGGTTCGGACATGTAGAGAGAATGGAGCAAAACAGTGACTTCAAGAGTGTATCAGTCTGTAGTGGAAGGAAGGCGTGGTAGGGGTCGGCCTAGGAAAGGTTGGAGGGAGGGGGTAAAGGAGGTTTTGTGTGCGAGGGGCTTGGACTTCCAGCATGCAAGCGTGAGCGTGTTTGATAGAAGTGAATGGAGACAAATGGTTTTTAATACTTGACGTGCTGTTGGAGTGTGAGCAAAGTAACATTTATGAAGGGGTTCAGGGAAACCGGCAAGCCGGACTTGAGTCCTGGAGATGGGAAGTACAGTGCCTGCACTCTGAAGGAGGGGTGTAAATGTTGCAGTTTAAAAACTGTAGTGTAAAGCACCCTTCTGGCAAGACAGTGATGGAGTGAATGATGGTGAAAGTTTTTCTTTCTCGGGCCACCCTGCCTTGGTGGGAATCGGCCAGTGTGATAATAATAAAAAAAATAATATGTAAAGCATACATTGTAAGCTTTGCAAGGATATAAACATTTATTATTATTATTAATGGATGTAAGTGGTTTGTAAATGGATGTAATGTTAGAGTGTGAACAAGATAGCTTTAGTGAAGAGATTCAGGGAAACTTGAGTCCAAGAAGTGAGAAGGGCAGTGCCTGCAAATTAATCAGCAGCTACACAAATTAAACAGCAATGAAACAGGTTAATTCTCTAATAATTTCAAATACAGGTATTTGAGAGTACAGTACATGGAATACATGTGTTACTACATACAACAAATTGTATAGGGCATTCATAATCTATCTGCCAAAATATTTTGTTTTTAATAAAAGGAAACCCCTTACTATATTACTATACAGTGCTGTATGAATGGTATTTTCATTATCTAAATCAGATAACTAAACCATTATCATATCATGGCTAAAAACTGCAATCAGTAAGTGGGAGGCTTTTGTCTTTGTTATCACTGTAAATCCCTCTGGTAATTTCACTCATTCTGTACACCCACAAAAAGCTTTACAGAGTACCAGTAGCAGCTGCACAAATACACTTCTTATTGTATGGCTGTGCACTAATACTAGGTGTCACAGCATAAATCAGAAAAAAAAAATAGTAAAAATCAGAACAAAACAAGTTAGCCAGTGAAAAGTAATTGTTCATCTGCATAATTTGGACTGATGGTGAGCTTTTGAATGAAAGTGCTGTAGCTTGAAAAACAAAAATATGTGACATTTTTCTGCAATTAAACATTATTATTATTATAATCAAGGGGGAAGCGCTAAACCCAGAGGATTATACAGCGCCTGGGGGGGGGGATGTGGAAGGCATTCAGGCTTAATTTGGGAAACTGGAGCACAGATCCAATTCCCTAAATCAAGAGCCCCTCACCAACATCAAGGAACCTTCCTTGAGGGGTGCAATTAAACAGATTATACATCAGGGCTCAGGAACTGTTTTCTGGGACAATTTTTAGGTAAGCTCATATAAAGTAATATTTTTTTAAAATGTTCTCAGTTATCCTGTATGCATAAAAGATGCTGATTTATAATTACAGGTATTCTAGATTTCAATGTCATTTAAAAATTTGCAGTGATTTCTCTTAACTCTTATATAAAAGTTAATACAACAGCATACCACATCATCTTTACTGCCATACAAGAACAATAAATTCTGCTGGTTTTATCAAATACTGTATGCCTGACTTTATACATACTCTTTCTCTTCAATTTAACGTTTTGTCACTCCATATAACCACTAAATACAGTACAAGTACAGTATAGTACATATTGTTTTTATATGAAAGAAGTCAATGACTGCTGCCAAAGACAAGCAAAATGATCATCTCAAAACAAAAAAAAAAAACAAAAAAAAAAAAAAACAATTCTGAATTTAAAATAATGAAACAAAAAATAAATGAGGCTAAAGAATTTTTTATTTGTGCCTGGTAATTTATAGCACACATTATGAAGAACCACCCTAGAGAAATTATTTACAAGTTTATTCGAACATCAATTACTTCACGGCTTTCATGATGCTACTAGACGTTTGTTAAAAAGATACATTTTCTTGATTTTCACAGTCACAGGGAAGAAAATCACATTAAGCCCATTTACACATGTCATACAATGTCTAACCTTTAAATCTACACCAGACTTGCCAGCAGCTTGTCTTAAGGCTATAGCACAGCCCTCAGGGTTGATGCCTCCAGCATTGCTCAGTACTCTAATGCCTGGAAAAACAGTTACAATAGTTCAACTACTATTAACGAAAGACATGGAACCAGTATCAGTGAATATCAAAATGGTATACAATACCGATAGGATGGTAGTTAAGACACATAGGCAACATTTAGGCAACTTTATTCCGAAACGTTTCGCCTATACAGTAGGCTTCTTCAGTCGAGTACAGAAAGTAGGCAGGAGCAGTAGACTGATTACATCGTCTTCACATCTCTACTGCTCCTGCCTACTTTTTGTACTCAACTGAAGAAGCCTACTGTGTAGGCAAAACGTTTCGGAATAGAGTTGCCTAAATGTTGCCTATGTCTTAACTACCAACCAGTATCAGTGTTACTTGTCATATGGTCAATTATACTGAAATGATTAGCAAACGAAGGAAAAGATATTTTTCATTTACTAAGATATATAATTATAACCTTCAGAAACCTGGACTGAGAAATGTATAAATTTGGATTTTCTAATGAAACTCAGTTCACATAATAGTTTGAGTGCTATAGTATTAATATTAATACGGAAAAGCCTGCAGAGGCCATTTACAGTGGAAGCTCAACTGCAGGTAATGTTTGTATTGTATCTGCTTCAATGGACTACAAAATTCAGTTATAAAACAAGCCCCAAATACTGCTAATTTACATCAAAACTTGAAAGATGCAGGTTACTGGACTCTTTTCTAGATTAAATATGATGTACTTGTTTGCTGCCCTTTGCATAAAAAAAGTGTTTAAGATATTCATACACTTATAACTAATTATATAGTATTATGCTTTATCTTGATCACAAAATCAAATAACACACACTCACCTCTTCTTTTTATTTCATTTAAATGTGGTCCTATGGCAAAGAGGACAAAATCTGGAGCATAGCCAAACTCCGGTTTCTTTGCATGAGCAGCAGTAAGTAGGGACATTGTGATCTCGGAGAGGTAGTCGAACATGAGGAAGTCAAGTTTTCCATTGTGGATGAGCTGTGGTGCTGAAACATGTTTATTTTTTAATCTACTACTTTGGCAGGAGATGACCTATTGGTCATCTCCTACCAAGGAGATGACCCATCACAAGAAAAGAAAAAAGCACTACCATTACTCTTATTCAACATCTATTTAGTTTTTTATTTATTTATTAATTTGAACATGGTACAGTGACGTACAAAGTTATTGCAGTGCAACATGCCAAAGCCCCTTGTATGCAGAGCATTATGAGCAGGCTTAAAATTAACTTAAGATTAGCTAAGCAATGATATATTCAGTGGTAAAAACATTATTGTAAACAGATAACAATTTAGCACAAATGAGTATTACAAAGACAGGTCATATGGTCATTTACTGTGTTGCTGAGCATTCAGTAGAATGTTAGGTAATGTAATTAAAAAATAAAGTTTGATTGGGTCACAGGTTAGACATTTATGAGATACAATTGTTCAGTATTTATTTAGCTGTGGGTGAGTAAGTGATTTTTGAGAAGAGACATGAATTTATAAACAGACAGTGTTTCTTTTATATTCACAGGTAATGAATTCCAGATTTTAGGGCCTTTTATGTGTATTGAGTTTTTGCATAGCGTGAGATGGACTTGAGGAACATCAAAGAGTGATCTGTGCCTTGTGTTATGGTCGTGTGTTCTGTTGAGGTTGGTAAGGAGACGTTTGAGGGGAGGGTTTATATCAGAATTAAGTGTTCTATGAATGTAGTAGGTGCAGTAATAAGTATGGATGTTTTGAATTGTGAGTAGGTTTAGAGTTTTGAATATTGGTGGAGTGTGCTGCCTGTAGTGGGAATTTGTTATCATTCTGACTGCAGCCTTTTGTTGGGTAATTAATGGTCTGAGCCCCATGCACAAATTCCATAGGTGAGATAGGGGTAAATAAGTGAGTGATATAGGGCCAGGAGGGCTGACTTTGGAACATAGTACCGTATCTTCGATAGTATGCCTACGATCTTGGAAATTTTTTTGGAAATTTGTTGTATATGTGTTTGAAATTTGAGTCTATTATCAAGGTGGATTCCTAAGAATTTTCCCTCTGTGAGTTTTGTGATAGGTGAACCGTTTATCGTTATGTTAAGAGGGACGTCTGTAGCTCTGTTACCAAACTGAATGAAATATTTTTTGTCAATGTTTAGAGTAAGTTTGTTAGTACTCATCCAGGTAGATATTTTCTGTAATTCAGTATTTACAGTATTGGCTAGCGTGACTGGGCTCGGGTGAGAGAAGACGTATGTAGTGTCATCTGCAAACAGTGTGGGCTTGAGTAGTTGCGATGCATTTGGTAGGTCATTTATGTATATGAGAAAGAGAAGAGGGCCTAGGGCACTTCCCTGTGGGACACCAACTGTAATTGGCTGTGCGGAAGAGTTTGCCCCATTTGTGTACACATATTGGCTTCTGTTGCTGAGGTAAGACTTTAGGTAGTTGAGGGAGTGCCCTCTTATACCGTAGTGCGACAATTTTATATGGAGCAAGTCATGGTCAACTGTATCAAAAGCTTTATGTAAGTCTATGAAGATCCCCAGTGGGACTTCTTTTTTCTCTATTACAGTGTATATGTGTTCTAGCATGTGTATAATAGCATCATTAGTAGTTTTATTAGGCCTGAACCCAAATTGACAGGGGTTGAGTATGTTGTGGGAGATGAGGTAGGAATAGATTCGCTTATGAATTAATTTTTCAAAGATTTTAGAGAGAGGGTGTAAGTTGGATATTGGCCTATAGTTATTCAAGCCTGTTTGGTCTCCTCCTTTATGGGGCAGGGTGACCCTTGCTATTTTGAGAACTGTAGGGAAGATAGAGGATTCTATGGATTTGTTAAAGAGTGTTGCAATGATTGGTGATAGCACTTTTGACGCTTTTTTGTATATAAAGGGTGGTAAGGTATTTAAATCTCCTGTCTTGTTTTTTAGCGTGTTGATAATAAGGGAGACTTCAGTAGGGTTAGTCGGAGCTAGGAACAGTGTGTTCGGGTAGTTGCCAGTGAGGTAGTCATTGGGTGGGGTATCTGAGCTTGGGATTTTATTGGCAAGGTTTTTTCCTATAGTGGAGAAGAAATTATGGAGTCTGTTTGATGTTTCAGTTGGTGGGAGTTGGGGTTCATCTGGTTTTGTTAATTCAATTTCGCCATTTCGTGATATCTTTTTTGTTCCTAGAATTGCTGATAGGGTTTTCCAGGTCTTTTTTATATCACCTCATAAGTTGGATAATCTGTTCTCATAATACAGTTTTTTAGCCCTTCTTATCAGGCTGGTTAGGATTGACGAGTAACGTTTTGTTTGGTCTCTGGTTATGTGACCCATTCTGTACCGTTTCTCGTATAGGTGCTTTGTATTTATGGATTTGAGGATGCTGGGTGCTAGCCAGGGACTGTTCAGTCTCTTAGCTGTCATCTGTTTAGTTTTTTTTGGGGCAGTGCTTGTTATAAAGGTATTGGGTCTTTTTTAGAAAATTATTAATACATTCGTCAATATCTGTATGGATTTCTAGCTCAGTGTGCCAGTCAATGTTCGTCAATGCTGCTGTGAAGTTATTAATGGCTGCCTCATTGTGAAGTCTGAAAGTGACTTTAGTAGTGTCTTGGGGTAATTTGCCAAGGTTTGTGATGAGGAAGGTAGGGTAGTGATCTGTGGTATTATCTGTGATTATGCCTGATTTTAAAGGGGATATAGTGTTGGTCCAGATGTGGTCTAGTAGGGAAACACTAGTCTCTAACTCTTGTAGGTTTTGTTACTGTTGGTAGCAACATGCAGTTACTCATAGTGTTTGTGAATTCAGTAACGTGTGGGTCTTGGTCTTGCAGGAGATTTATAATGAAGTCACCTGAGAGTAGCAAGTGATCTTTGTTCATGCGTGCATCAGTTATCATACTTCCTAGGTTGTCACTAAAACGGCTAATGTTTGACTGTGGTACTCTGTAGATGTTTATCACTGTGAGAGGTTTTTGTAGGTATCTGGATTTGAATTTAGCTATTATATATTCCCCATGTTCATCCCTTGTGCAAGTATTAGTGGTACATTCTAGTTGGTCTGAGTAGTATATAGCTGTGCCACCCCCTTGTTGATCTGGCCTACAGTTGTGTATGGCTGTGTAACCAGGAATGGCATAGACATCTGTAGTATCAGGCTTTAGCCAGGTTTTGGTGAGAGTAATGATGGATATATGTACTAGAAGTGTGCAGACATCACAATTCAAATGACCTTCTTAACAGAAACGTCCCACACTGATCCTTCAGAATGTAGGCACTATATATCCCACCTCCAGAACTAAAACCCAGGTACCAATTTCCCTAAAATCCTTTCATAAATGTTAGTACCTTGTTCACACTCCAACAGCACATTAAACCCTAAAAACTCTCATCTTGTATCATTCCAATCAAATGTACCATATTTCATGGCTTATAAGACTTGTTTTAGTTTCAGTGGGTTGGCATTGGACGTAACCGAGAGAGCTACAGCCCACCCCACACCTCAAACTTATAGCTCTTGTCACTTACCTTCAGTTTATAGGACACAGGGTGGTTTTTGGGGACATTTTATAGAAAAAAAATGCATCTAATATGCCGCAAAATACGGTACTCACAAATACCTGCTGGATGCTCAAGTCTCTGCTACTTACTGTATATAAAACCTTCACTCCCTCCCTCCAACCCTTCTTGGAACTAGTACTCTCCTCTTCATCCTGGATCTATGTACATTATGGTGTCCAGTGGCCTGATAGGTAAAAACTCTCGTCTTACACACTGAGTGTCCATGGCTCGATTCCCTGCCGTATGGAAATGTTGCGGGTGTTTCCTTACACTTGCTGTCCCTGTTCACCTAGCAAGCAAGTACGTATGTGGGTGTTAATCGACTGGTATGGGTCGTATCCTGGGGGACAAGATTAAAAGACCCCAATGGATATAAGACAGTCAGTCCTCAATGATGCACTGACTTTCTTGGGTTTATCTTGGGTGGCTAACCCTCTTGAGGTTAAAAATCCAAACAATTTCTTATCTCTTATCTTACTGTACTTTCTTTGTCATTCTTCCTAATGATCAAATCACCTCAACAACCCCCCTCCTCTTCAAATTACATACACCTTTCGAAACCCTACACCATCTTCAAATTTCTGCAGTCTTATTTAATAACATTCACACCACACATTGCTCCCAGGCATGACATTTTCACTGCTTCCAACCTCTCTTCACTGCAATGTTTAAAGACCATACTTCACACCGATATAAAAGTGGTGGTGCTATTATATCCTGATACAGTTCACTTTTTGGCCTCAAACTTCATCCTTTCTACAGATGCCTCAATCACCACTTACCATACCTCTTTTACCTATCGTCTATTCTATGATTGATGTTGTATGTCATAGACCCAGCTGCCAACACGTCCACTCTCCCTCCCTTCCATATCACAGTCAATATTTCATTACCTAAACTGCTTGTTATTTTCACCACCTTGCTCTATGTACTATGTACTACCAGGTGAGTACAGCTAAATGAGTATGACCAGTAAGTACAACTAAATGAGTACTACCAGGTAAGTACAACTAAATCTGTTCTACCAGGTGAGTACAACTAAACAAGTACTACCAGGTAAGTACAACTAAACAAGTACTACCAGGTGAGTACAACTAAATGAGTACTACCAGGTGAGTACAACTAAACATGTACTACCAGGTGAGTACAACTAAACGAGTACTACCAGGTAAGTACAACTAATCGTGTACTACCAGGTGAGTACAACTAAACGTGTACTACCAGGTGAGTACAACTAAACGTGTACTACCAGGTGAGTACAACTAAACGTGTACTACCAGGTGAGTACAACTAAACGTGTACTACCAGGTGAGTACAACTAAACGTGTACTAACAGGTGAGTACAACTAAACGTGTACTACCAGGTGAGTACAACTAAACGTGTACTACCAGGTGAGTACAACTAAATGAGTACTACCAGGCAAGTACAACTAAACGTGTACTACCAGGTGAGTACAACTAAACGAGTACTACCAGGTAAGTACAACTAATCATGTACTACCAGTTGAGTACAACTAAACAAGTACTACCAGGTGAGTACAACTAAACAAGTACTACCAGGTGAGTACAACTAAACAAGTACTACCAGGTGAGTACAACTAAATGTGTACTACCAGGTGAGTACAACTAAACATGTACTACCAGGTGAGTACAACTAAATGAATACTACCAGGTAAGTACAACTAATCGTGTACTACCAGGTGAGTACAACTAAACGTGTACTACCAGGTGAGTACAACTAAACGTGTACTACCAGGTGAGTACAACTAAATGTGTACTACCAGGTGAGTACAACTAAATGAGTACTACCAGGTAAGTACAACTAATTATGCACTACCAGGTGAGTACAACTAAACATGTACTACCAGGTGAGTACAACTAAACAAGTACTACCAGGTGAGTACAACTAAATGTGTACTACCAGGTGAGTACAACTAAACGTGTACTACCAGGTGAGTACAACTAAACGTGTACTACCAGGTGAGTACAACTAAACGTGTACTACCAGGTGAGTACAACTAAACGTGTACTACCAGGTGAGTACAACTAAACGTGTACTACCAGGTGAGTACAACTAAATGAGTACTACCAGGTAAGTACAACTAATTATGCACTACTAGGTGAGTACAACTAAACAAGTACTACCAGGTAAGTACAACTAAATGTGTACTACCAGGTGAGTACAACTAAACGTGTACTACCAGGTGAGTACAACTAAATGAGTACTACCAGGTAAGTACAACTAATCGTGTACTACCAGGTAAGTACAACTAAAGTACTACCAGGTGAGTACAACTAAACGAGTACTACCAGGTAAGTACAACTAATCGTGTACTACCAGGTGAGTACAACTAAACAAGTACTACCAGGTGAGTACAACTAAACGAGTACTACCAGGTAAGTACAACTAATCGTGTACTACCAGGCGAGTACATCTAGGTAAATACCACTAGGTGAGTACTACCAGGAGAGTACATCTAGGTAAATACCACTAGCGAGTACTACCAGGAGAGTACATCTAGGTAAATACCACTAGCGAGTACTACCACCTATATGAAGCAGATAAAATCCTTTTCATAAATCATACATTATCATCATCTTTTTTTTTAGAATATAATCATGGGATATGCTGCATGTCAGGGACAATCAATGATTAATACTGACGATCCTGGCCAATCACAGAAAACGTAAACAGAGACGAATCTAATGCAAACAAAGGCGCGCCAGACCCATATCTACCGCTGACGGAGTAAGGTTAAGTTATTTGGTTACTTTAGGCCGGGTTTGCACAATACAAAACAATGTTCAATACCAAATAAACCTGACAATGAACATTTTTTAGGAAGGAATTACATGGGAAACTATCATAAGAGCAGAATCTCTTTAGTTATCAATGAGAAGTTTGATAATTTACCCGCTGTTGGTGTGTCGCCCCAAAACCCACTAGCACAGCCAATCCTCACAGTCTTGCGCTGTGTTCCTCCTGACAGGTGTCTTCCATGGCAACACGATACAGGCAATATATTGAATTTCCTTCGGGAAAATCGAAGGATATTTGTGGCCAGCAAACCCATTTTTCTGAAGGGCGCTCCACTTGTCCAAATCTTTGCCTACGGTATTAGTCTTCCTTTAAGTATATGCATTGGTCAGTATGCATCATTACGCAAGTTCTCTGCTTATAGTGTTACTTGTTTTATTTACGGTTAGAGAGAGACCGATTGATAATGGTGGATATTTTATTTATTTCCAGTATTAAATAAAGAGTAAAGCTGCTTAAGGAGAATCGAACAAGATTATCGCAAAACGTCAACATAAATCACATGTTTACATAAATTTCTATAGGCTTTATATCATATCAGTACGCATTCATTTATTTAGCAATTTTTTTTAATATTAAACGTAAGAAAAAGATTGCAAGACTTTACTAAGCGTTCATGCTTTTGTAGTTATGGTCAATATACTCTTTCTCGGCTGTATTGGCAGTAGCTGTCCATTATTAGGATATAAATGATAATCAGTTACAAAAATTATGGAAATATAAGAATAATAAGATCAAAAGCTTCAATATAATAATTGTCTGGAACTGGAAAATCAATAAAGACAGAATCCTTCTAAAGAGATGTAAATATTTACCAATGTGTTTAATCGGAGCTATTACAGCACCATTTGTCCAAAAGAGAGGCCCAACCTCGGTAATTTAAAGTCATCGTAGAGGGGAAATGGTTTATTATGGACTAGGATTTAGCAGGAATAGGTTGTTAGTTGAGTTAATATTATTGGAACATTGAGAGGAGAGTGTTGGTGCTACGTCATTCAGAGACCACCCTCACACAGTGCTACTACTGACTCACTAATGTCAGATGAGCAGACGACTCTTGTGATTCATAGTGAAGGGAAAATGAGGTGTGAATACGGCTGAAAGATCGCCGCTGTATTGTAGTATTGTGTGTTTGAAAATCTTGACCTCCAAGATGGATATGATGGATGGAGAGACTGTGTATAACTCTCACGACGACTCCCATATCGTTATGTCAGAGAAAGTACAGTCTCTAGCAGGTAGTATCTATCAGGAGTTTGAACGAATGATCGTGAAGTATGATGAAGATGTGGTCAAGGATTTAATGCCCCTAGTAGTCAACATCTTGGAATGTCTTGACCTTGCCTACACTGAGAACCAAGAACATGAGGTAAGAGAACACTGCTGCAAAGGAATCCTATTGTTCATACTTTGACATAATTTGTTTAATTTTATGAAATACGGAAGTTTGTACCATCCTGTGTGTAGCTTTTTCTTAGTGAAATGCAGAGTAGATTTTGTTTTCGTCGGGTCTGGGTCTGGTTATCAAAAATTAGTTTTTAGCAAATTTGCTTTTCTAACACTATGCAAATGAAGGTTTTCGGATGCACAGTATTTGCAGAATTACACTACAGAAAATATGGGTCCTAAATATGTGCAAAGTTGCTCAGAAAGTTGTTGATCTAGTTACAATATTGTCCAAGAATTTTGGGGAGAATACAGTACTGTTACTTTTTGGTGCTGTTACTTATATGCATAAGAATCATAATACTGAATTCAGCATGAATCACACAAGTATTAACGACCTTTGTAACGTTTTCACGAAAAATGCACATGAGGTGGTGCTAGACTGTCATTGCCTTGGTAACTGTATGTGTCTTGTATTTTCTGTCTTGGTAGAAAGAAAAAGTATTCTTGAACCAGAGTGCATATACCTCAAGAATTAGTCAAATCACACACACTTTTGCCATCACAGGGCTTAATTCCGCACTACTGCATCACACAGGAGGAACCAGACTACTACTCCCTCCTTTCACAGCTTTGATACTAGCAGCAGCCACTAAACCCACGGCATTGTGTCAGTGCTAGTCCATCCCCTCTGAAATCTTGTACATGGTTGAACCACTGATTCCATTATAATCCTGTGTATATTCACTTAATCTGAACTTATAGAGAAGTGAGTACAACAGAAGAGCTTTTCATGTACAGTACTCATCACTACCAGAACAGCAATCAGTCCTAAATTTTGCATCATTCTCCTGAACAGCAGCATAACTGAGAATTATACATGTTCTGAGCATGTAACATCAGAGTGGCTGTTCTGACCAAGACAACAATAGGAAGTTTCAGACAACAGCAGTGCTTGCATTTACATAATAACATGTGGAGGCTCTCAGAAGGTTTACATAGGTGAAACATCAAGAAATTTAAATACTGTACATGTATTGCCCAGCAGAAATGCACTTGCAATGTCAATAATGTGAACAACTCTTGCATGGTTCACCATAACTTATATAAAATAATCTGAGCTTCATAAAAGGTGTCGGAAGTCAGTCACTGACCACATTTAAATTATGTTTATTCTGGGTGCCACATCTACATGATGTTTATCCCGGGAGCTAGATCCTACTGTTGGTTATCCTGGGTACCAACTACTATTTTGATATTTAGCCTGGGTGCCACATCTTTATGATGTTTAACCAGGGTGCCACCTGCATGATGTTTTCTTAGGTGGCACATCCTTCAGATGTTTATCATGGGTGCCATAGCCTCATGATATTTTATCATAGATGCCAGAGCCTCATGATGCTTACCCCAGCGGGTGCCACATCCTTATGATATTTTTCCTGGGTACCATATACATTTGATGATTATCCTTAATACCACATCAGTGTGATTATTCAGGCGCCATATCTCCATAACATATATCATGAGTACCACATCTTTATGATGTTTTTCTTGGGTGCCACATCCTCATGATGTTTATTCTAGGTGTCAAATCCATGTAATGTTTACACTTGATATCACATCATCATGATGTTTACCCTGGGTGTCACATCCTCATGATGTTTATCTGGGGTATCATCCTCATGATGTTTATCTGGGATATCACATCCTTATGATGTTTATCCTGGGTATCACACCCTCATGATGTTTATCCTGGGTATCACACCCTCATGATGTTTATCCTGGGTATCATCCTCATGATGTTTATCCTGGGTATCACACCCTCATGATGTTTATCCTGGGTATCACACCCTCATGATGTTTATCCTGGGTATCACATCCTCATGATGTTTATCCTGGATACCACATCAGTGTGATATTGATTCTGGTTGCTGCACCGATGACTTATTTATCCTGCATGTCACATCCACTTGATGTTTATCTTTATGCAACATCCATATGATTATTATCCTGGGTGCCACATCCCTGCGATGATGCCTGTTGTGGGTGACATGTGCCTTTGATGTTTATCCTGAGTGCTACATGTGATTATTATCCTGGGTATCATCCACTTGAAGATTATCCTTGGGGTGTTTATTCCGGGAGCCACATTCTCGTGAAGTTTATCCTGAGTGCCGAATCTTGTTTATCTGGGTGCCTCGGAATCAAATCGTGGACAGAGCGAGACGTATGGGCAAGTCTCTCTAAACTCGCCAACCTCTATACTTGACTGCTGGTTCAGCAATCATGTTGCGACTGCAGGACTACATAACCATCGCAACCTTGCTGATCGTGCATTTTTGCAAGACTTGATCCGATTTCTTCTTGAAAATATTACCTTTTTTTCGGCAGTATTTCTTACATGCGCTGGAAGTATTTCTGTTGTCGACAGTAAAGGTATCTAGGTGGTGCGCATATATTATCCATGAACTTTATGGTATTGTTTACTATTTAAAAAATACGGTAATGCCGGAAGAAGGTTGAAAGGTCTTGGACCACAGATGTGGACACCGTTTTCTAATTGGGCTTATGAGCATTCTTGCTTTTCACTAGCTTTATCTTCTGTGCACTTCCCCACATATCTTGCCATGGACTCCATGTAGATAGTAATTAGCGCATTGCTCACAAAGCAGAAAAAAATATATACCTGGGTGTTAGTGGACTGGTGTGGGTAGCTCCTTGGGAATGGTCAAACGCTTAGATTGGGAAACCTTGGTTAAGCCCAGAGGGCTTGTCCCTGACTCGTGTAAATCCATTCTAGCACTTCCTCAAAGCAACTGTTCGCTTTCCAACGCGTTTATTTGAGCTAGTTTCTGAACAGCGTAAGGAATATACAAAATTATATATATTATTTTAGGTTAGATGAATTTAATATAACCTATATTATCCAAAAGTAGTTACGTATATTTAACCTACATTAAACAAATTACATAAACGGTAGGGTAATGTGTGGCAGTAGAATATACGTTGGAAATACGCTCATGTATTGTGAGAAGACAAGATAGTCATTTTCTGACATTCATAGCTAACACATCCATGTAGCTGAACGTGTTAGCCAGCCATGAATGATTGAAAAATTTCTTGCATAAGCTTTGTTTTCATCTCAGAGCTTGTTAAATTTATCATGTGCTCTTCATTAGTTACTCTTGTACCAAGCATATTGGTAATTTTACTAATGTTTATACATTTTTTGGTTAGGTGGGAATAGCCATCTTCGATTTTATCCTTCTAATTTAGGTAAATGAATTTGTTTGTAGATGAATGGTTCAGAGAACCGACATGTGTCTAATTTATCAGGTAAATGAATACACGTTCAACTACGTATAAGGGCAGTTAGTGCGCTACGTTTTCGCTTATTGGAAACTTTGACAGGCCAATAATATTAACAATACAATGTGTGGACACGGGTTGTATAACGGTAATCCGGAAAGCGGGGCATTCTTGAATCCCGGTGTAAACTCATTTTTAAATGATGGTGGAGATGGAGAAATAAATATCTTGAAGATTCGCGTATCATCTTTGCTGCTGCAACACATTTCCCCAGTTCTACCATTATTTGAAATGATCGTTATGCTACTGTTATTACTCTACTGCTACCAGTGAAATGTGTGTACACAGCATACTGAAGTGTGTATGTATGCAGAGAGTTTAATCCTTATATTATGGGTGAAAATATCATCTTAGGATATTGTACAGATGAATTTACGCCTCGATGGCCTACATGTATATTCATTACACAAAGTAGTTTTTGTAATCCGTAATTAAGGCAAAGTTGGCATCTTGTCGCAGCCATGAATGATACCATGTAATTTAGTTATATATATATATATATATATATATATATATATATATATATATATATATATATATATATATATATATATATATATATATATATATATATATATAGTGTGTGTGTGTGTGTCATGCCGAATAGGCAGAATTTGTGATCTTGGCTTAAATAGCAACGCTCATCTTGCAATATAGGACAAGCGAAAATTTGTGTATGCAATAATTTCGCCAAAATCATTCTGAACCTAACGAAAAAAATATATTTCACTGTGTTTGTTTAGTATTAAATTACTGTAAATGCATCTAAAATATTTTCAGTTGGGTTAGGTTGAAATAAATTGCTCTTGTTATAATAAGGTTTGGTAAGTTTTCTAAGATTCTTTTGGTGCAAAATTAAAAAATTTTACATTAACATTAATGAAAAAAATATATCTTTAAACGTATAACAGAAAATTTTTGAAAGGACTTAATTTTAAATGAGTTCTTGCTAATTGACCAGTTTTACATATTCGGCACATTATATATATATATATATATATATATATATATATATATATATATATATATATATATATATATATATATATATATATATATATATATATATATAATATAATATTTAGTTGGTTTAGGCTAAAATAAATTGTTTTTGTTATAATAAGGTTAGGTAAGTTTTCTAAGATTCTTTTGGAGCAAAATTAAAATTTTTTACATTAACATTAATGAAAAAAATATATCTTTAAACGTATAAGAGAAAATTTTAGAAAGGACTTAATTTTAAATGAGTTCTTGCTAAATGACCAGTTTTACATATTCGGCACAACATATATATATATATATATATATAATATATATATATATATATATATATATATATATATATATATATATATATATATATATATATATATATATGCAGCCACGCCTCTTATAGAAACATGTTCGAATTTAGATATTTTATTTAAAGTACAGATTCAAAATTTTAAAGATAATGTGAAAACTGAGGAGGCCGTGTGATATATGATACTGGATCAAGTCTTTGTGAATAGTGGTTTTCTATCATACTTTATTCAGTAATTTTGGGTATATCTTTTTTTCCCTCTGTAACAAGCAGTTGAAGCCGGTTTACTCTCAAGATTGGATCGGCACGGTTGATTATGATCAATTTGCGAGCCAGTAGTGTGATCGATTGCTTTATTGATATACGTATCTATAATATTAACGAGAAACTATTAAAATGTTGATGCTAATAGAGAAAAGTAAATAGGTTATAAATGGCTTGGTGATGCTGATAATATATGGATAATGACAACTGTGTACAGTTCGGGACATTTATTAAAGATAAACGTGGCAGCGTCGCTGGTAAACTTTGAATAATGTGATAAAGATTCTCACAAGACATAGGTGGTTATATAATGCAAACTTGAGATGTCACACCGTCGTGAGCATAAGAAATTGCGCGAGCAAGTCGTCAGGTACATGTGTGGGAATGCCACTTGGCTGACCTGGGTTCGAGCCCACACAATACTAGTTATAGAATTGTTATCTAACATTTATTGTTCTCTGGTGCAGGTGGAGGTGGAGTTACTGCGAGAGGATAACGAGCAGCTGGTTACGCAGTATGAACGGGAGAAACAGCTCAGGAAAGTTTCGGAGCAGGTAAATGCACTTTTATTAATTACCCCTCAACTACCCCCACAATATACATTATTTGAGCTACAGTTACCTTGAAACATTTTTTTCTTTGTCTACGGCCTAGGACATGAGTGTAATCTCAGTATTGGCATGGGCTCTTCTGTGACCTCATTTACGGGTAAATTTATTGTCTTCTGGTGAGAGCTTATCTAGTGAGAACGATAGTGCTATTCTCGATTAGATAACTCATCTCCATGTTAATTCGTAGGAATAAAATTTCTCGGTAGTCTCACCGCATTGCCAACTTCAAACTACAAATTTCAAATATAGCCAGTGTAACAATATGAACAAAAATGATTTTCCGATGGACGTTAAAGAATTCCAGCCCAGAACTTATAAGCCATCCACCAGACTGTGATAGGTCCAAGTGTTGCCACAGATCACGTTTTGCCAATCTCCATGTCAACTCTGGTACCAGGTAATGCTGGTTCTTGTTCCCCAACATTTCTGTAATTATTATTTAATAACGATGTATAATATATACACCATTGCTCCTTAATTCCATTACTGAACTTGTCTGTCACATTACTTAAGGCATCTTTGGTGATCTTTTGTGTACATTAGATGCAGATACAGTATTATGCTATGTTCTGGTATTCAGTAAGTTGTGTTGCTAGTTAAATACATGGTATATCTGTGTCAGCCATCACAGAAAGTGCTGGGAGATGGTATTTTGCCTCTTGCCTAACTGATGTAGATTAGTGGAACTAAGTGACAAGTTAAGTTATTGAAGCAAATGCTGAGAGTGGGTTGCACATGAGAATAAGTGGAAATGGTTGGGTGCTCCCTTTCTTCCTATGATTATAAAGTTGGCAAGACGTTGTGTTGGGGCGCGTGACAGACCAGAGTGAGGCTTCCATGGTGATTACCTTGTAGTTTTTGGTACGTTAGTTCTGCCACGAGCCCAGGAAGCGGTTTACAAAGTCATTGTATTATTTCCCACGTATGAAAGTAAAAGCCAGAGTACTCTTACATGTTCAGATGTTCTGAGTTTGTGTGACGAGTGATGTTCTGTATATTGTGAGTGATACATCTTACACGGGTTCATGTGGGTTCTTCATGCCGTTTAGTGATGTATCTATGGTCACGCGTCGTGAAAAAATGGTATGAAATTATACCAGGCTGGAGAAGAGACGTCTTAATGACAGGAAAGTGGTCTCTAGAGGAAAGGACTGAAACAGTATGGGGTCGCCACATTGCCTCCGCAGACTGCTACCATGGCTCTTCACACTCCATCCCAATGACACGCACAAACGCACAAGGCCTATGGGGGATATGATAATGACGTACTAAATATCGAGAGGATTATTTGACAGGGTGAACAGGGACAGACTGTGTCAGAGATGGGAAATATGAGCAAGAGGACACAGATGTAAGTTGAGAACCCAGACAAGTCAAAGGGATGTTATAATAATTCTTCAGCTTTAGAGTTGGAGAGCGAAGTGGTAGAGGCGGGATCCATACACAGATTTAAGAAGAGGTACGATAAGGCTCTTGAATCCATGAGTGGTCCTAGGAGCGACCAACAGAGATGCAGGGCCAGGAGCTGTGATTACTACTGCAACCATATATAGGTGAGTACACACAGAATGGACGGGTATTTGAACCGTGGTCCATGCGAGTAGCAGGTCTAACGCAGTAGCCCTTCAGCAAGGAGGGTTCTAATATGATTTTAAAACCAGCCTTTCCATGACATGATGAGGGTGCTGGTGGCTTGCTTGATAGCGTCCTCAGCTCTCACTCCCAGTTTTCGTGTCACATCTGTTTAGGAATGGGGAGATACCGCAAATTTTGCCAATTCCATCAAAATTAGCCAATACCTACCAGTACCAATGCTCTGGCCCAACCTCTCGAAGCCAAAAAGCCTATAAACTAACTCGTAATGAAGGATTGTCAACAAATCAACGTTCACATAAATAATCACATACGTTTACATATGTACATGCATACATATGTTCATACATATGTACATACATTCATTTGTACTTTTTTTCCAACAAGTTGGCCGTCTCCCACCGAGGCAGGGTGACCCAAAAAGAAAGAAAAAATCCCAAAAAAGAAAATACTTTCGTCATCATTCAACACTTTCACCTCACTCATACATAATCACTGTTTTTGCAGAAGTTCCCAGAACACAACAGTTTAGAAGCATATACGTATAAAGATACACAACATATCCCTCCAGACTGCCAATATCCCAAACCTCTCCTTTAAAGTGCAGACATTGTACTTCCCATTTCCAGGACTCAAGTCCGGCTGTATAAAAATAACCGGTTTTCCTGAATCCCTTCACTAAATATTACCCTGCTCACACTCCAACAGCTCGTCAGGTTCCAAATACCATTCGTCTCCATTCACTCCTATCTAACACTCTCACGCATGCTTGCTGGAAGTCATAATTACATACATTCATAATATACAGCTTTTACAAAACTTGAATGACTAAAGTGGGTGAAGATGAGCGAGATTAACAATGTAGTATAGACTGGAGTACCTGGAGTTTACCTGGAGAGAGTTCCGGGGGTCAACGCCCCCGCGGCCCGGTCTGTGACCAGGCCTCCTGGTGGATCAGAGCCTGATCAACCAGGCTGTTACTGCTGGCTGCACGCAAACCAACATACGAGCCACAGCCCGGCTGGTCAGGAACCGACTTTAGGTGCTTGTCCAGTGCCAGCTTGAAGACTGCCAGGGGTCTATTGGTAATCCCCCTTATGTATGCTGGGAGGCAGTTGAACAGTCTCGGGCTCCTGACACTTATTGTATGGTCTCTTAACGTGCTAGTGACACCCCTGCTTTTCATTGGGGGGATGGTGCATCGTCTGCCAAGTCTTTTGCTTTCGTAGTGAGTGATTTTCGTGTGCAAGTTCGGTACTAGTCCGTCTAGGATTTTCCAGGTGTATATAATCATGTATCTCTCCCTCCTGCGTTCCAGGGAATACAGGTTCAGGAACCTCAAGCGCTCCCAGTAATTGAGGTGTTTTATCTCCGTTATGCGCGCCGTGAAGGTTCTCTGTACATTTTCTAGGTCCGCAATTTCACCTGCCTTGAAAGGTGCTGTCAGTGTGCAGCACTATTCCAGCCTAGATAGAACAAGTGACCTGAACAGTGTCATCATGGGCTTGGCATCCCTAGTTTTGAAGGTTCTCATTATCCATCCTGTCATTTTTCTAGCAGATGCGATTGATACAATGTTATGGTCCTTGAAGGTGAGATCCTCCGACATGATCACTCCCAGGTCTTTGACGTTGGCGTTTCGCTCTATTTTGTGGTCAGAATTTGTTTTGTACTCTGACGAAGATTTAATTTCCTCATGTTTACCATATCTGAGTAATTGAAATTTCTCATCGTTGAACTTCATATTGTTTTTCTGCAGCCCACTGCAATGGAAGACACTGTCACTCACTGTGTTGGTATGATGAATCTGTTAAATATACTGTAGTGTAGATTGTGTTGGTATGTACGGGGGGAAGGGGGGGGATTATGATGGTGATGAGGCTATTAACATGTGTTAAACATAGTGCGGAATATGTTGGTATGCACCAGTGTGTGTGGGGGGGGGGAAGGGATTGTCGTGACGACACCTGTGTTGAGCGGTGACGTTACAATGGCACGATGCCAAGCCTCTTGTCCACACCACCTGCAACTTAACACGGTCATACTAGGGACAAGGGTACGACGAAGTTTGGAGAGATGCGGAGTTAAGATTGCGTTGTTTCATTCATACATAGTTAACATGCGCGGGGTCAAATGTTTTGTGTCGGGGGTTGGGAGGGGGTGACTGGCAATTTTTATAACGTTTCCTGACTCTTCGTTCTATGAAACCCCCTGTTAAATTTTTCAGCTTTTTTCCAGCTTCGGTGACTAGTATTGTCAATTGCTCATCATTTTTACGGTCCT